TAATTTGCTAATTTTCGACTACTGATGGGTATGTTTTCTAAAAAAGCGAATGAAAATATTCGCTCGTTTAACCGTCGGATGTTGACTTTGCTTATATAACATCAGTAAATGGACGCACGGTAGCCACATATGCCCGTAAATTGCTCAAGTGCATGTACCAGTTAAACAGTCCATGTCATATCGATGGTGTTGGTCTTTAACAACAAACTGTGGAGGTCGAAACATACAAGATGGCATACCAGCCCCGCTCTAATGTTGGAGTACACGGCACCGAACTTCGGCGTTGCCAGTTGACGCATAACTTGGGTGCAAGTGTACGTTTTGTGAGAGATCACCAGCATCTGCAGGCAGGTGTTACCTTCGAGCACCTGATGTATAACACAGAAATATGTACACTGCATCTGAAATTCTTACAGCACAACCTCAGACAGCTTCCATACTTTACTCACCGCCAAAGCAAGGCGGTCGGAAGTATGGGTTATTTTCTTCAATCTAAGCTTGGCATTCTGTCCACTGTTGGTCGTGGTGTTCCCAAAATGCACCCATCCCGCTTGAGTGTAGTTCGCAGACGACCGCTTGATGGACATCATGCGGGGTGTTAGATACCGTACGAACTGAGGATCCGTCTTCTGAAGTAGGCTAAGATCATGCTGGTACCTAGAAAAGTGTGAATGTCGGAAAAGTAGCATACTCGGTCTCCGGATCAATTGCAGCGATCCGGTGAAATAAATGACCGTGTGCGGAAGCTATTAGTATACAGAACGGAATAAAACAATTTGCTTAACTTCCGTGTTTTCGAACGGCCTCGCGGATATGAAAGTAGCGCAACAGAATGTCACACTGGAATACTACTTGTGCTGCGCGCATTTGAGCAGCCATTTTATCCAAAACGTACGTTTGTACGGAGACGTCATGGCCCATTGCATCACGAAACAAACGAAATAATTTCATTAGCGATGTAAACGTTTCCTTATGCACAAATCCATAAAAAGCTGACCGGCCTGAACCCATGCCGTCTGTTACCAAGAACTGGCACAACTTGAAACTGTAGCGAAATTTAACAAAGAATGTCATACGTACCCAAGGCGGTTTGTACTATGCGTTGCATCAACGCACAAAACGTGTGGAAATCGCCGAAACATTTGTACTTGCTGTTATCGAGCAAAGCACACATGCGTTAGTAAGCCTTTTTCGGAAATAGTCTGCACGAAACCATTCTGTTCCATGCACTGAAGGGCCTGTCGCAAATTGACTGGCAATAACAACGTGACATATCACATGCATGCCACGTACGATCGCATTCTGCGGTGCACATTACGGACGTCATCTCTTGTGACGTGTTTTCCGAATTCATTCTCGATGCCTTGCTTTATGTCGCAGTTAGGGGTGTTGTATCGAATTAAGTCAGCAGATTGATTACATTCGACGGTTTAAAGAGCGCCTTTCGAAAAGAAAGCGGTTGCATGGATGGTTTTGGAAGAGCTGGAACATTAGTTCTTTAGCGTACGGACTTCCCGAGCAACATTGACACGAGCATGGAAATCGGTGTCTCAAGAATTGAATTAAATGGTCAACAATATTACAAACCACATAATAGACTCGCCGTATTCCCTTGCTCTATGCTTTGCGCCGCATACAGCGCATGCATTTATAAACGACGCGATAATGCCTCTCGCTATGATGCTTACTTCTTTTGCTACTACAGCAGACAAAATCGACGTTGTTGCGATGCATAAATGCGGTAAACAGCGAATAAAATTTATCAAAGCTATGAAACGAACGTCCAAGAAAGATCTCCTGAAGTCAGCCGCCATGGTTGCAATTCGAAATAACGGCCAAAGACGACCTATTTATTTAGACTTCACTTAAAGTAGCAACGAACCTCATTCGCAAAGAACTTAGCCGCTTTCTGCAAGATACTTGACATAGTCGTATTTTAAGTTGTAAAATTGACGCAACTAATTTTTTTATTACCCACGTTTCTTGCAGTCTTGTGGTTGCCATTACGTACCACGTGCCACGTGGCACCACGATGTAGCTTCGACCTTTTAAGTCATGTCCTGTGAAGGTTATTTTTATGACTTCGTCAATAGCGATGTTGAAGAGGAAAGGTGACAGCGGGCATCCTTGTCTCACACTGCTAGAGATAATGAAGGGCTGCAACAGCTTGCCGTGGTGTGTTTCACTGTCTGTTGATGCCTTCAAAGCAGGCCTAGACAGGTGCTGGCCGCGTATTTTTCCGGAATTAATATAATCCCATCCAATTTATTCGCATTGATATCCGATGTTGATCCTTGTAAAAGCAAAGATTGCTCTCGCTTTTGCTTCATTTCTTTTTGCAGAGGCAAGGAGAGGCGATCAAAAGTCGAAGTGCTGGGGGCTCTGGTTCGCTTACCGGTACAAGAAGCTGGACGCTCGTTAGGCGGAAGCCTGTATCGTCCACGGATTTTGACCTGACCTACTGTTGTGGATCACTACACTTCTTAGTGTTTCCCACCGTACAGCAGCTTATGTGTTACGCGCGCAATATTCGGAGTGTTCTCAACTCACCGATCCCTCGTGTGTATTTCTGTGCTACTCGATTGTCGCATATTTTCGTCGTGATGCTCGCTTTGTGGTGGAATATCTTAGTACACAAAAAGCCGGAATACGGCTATCAAGATGCAACGGCAGGCTAAATACTCTTATGAGCTTCGGCTGGCTCGGTATGCGAAAACAAATCCAAAGTGTTACTACGGCTATGTTCAGTCTAAAGCCTCCCTAAGAGAGGACGTTGGGTGTCTAATTATGGAAGATGGCAGCCAGACTGTGGAAGCCAGAGATAAAGCTGAAATGCTGCTAAGAGTCTTTCAGAATCTGCATAGGAGGGACAATGGATGTGCTGCACCATCGCAGCCACACTGTGTCAGCAGTTGTATAATGCAGGACATCGTGCTGACTGCGCAAGAGATCTTTACTGTGATGACTAACTTGAATCCCTTCAAATCAGCCGGTCCTGACGATGTACATCCGGCAATAGTCAAGCCACTAGCTGACATCCTTCAACATCCTGTTCTGGAGCTGTTCAACTTGTCGCTCCAGGAATGCAAGTTGCCACGAGACTGGAAGGAAGCAGCCATAGTTGCAATTCACAAGGGTGGCTCCAAATCGGAGCCCCTTAACTACAGACCCATCAGTCTAACCTGTGTTCTGCTCAAGTGTTTAGAGAAGCTTATAAGAAACCGGATTTGTGAGCATTTGGCGGAACACAGTCTACTTAGAGCAGAGCAGCATGGTTTCATTAAAAAGAAGTCGTGCCTCACTAATCTACTGTGCTTCATCGATGAGATTACTCGATGTCTTGACGACGGGATTCCGGTAGAGGTCTGCTATCTTGATTTTAGCAAGGCTTTCGACTCAGTAAATCACCGTTTCCTACTTGAAAAATTAGCATGGTTCGGAGTACATCCTAGACTTCTGTCTTGGGTGTCAGAATTCTTATGTGGGAGAACGTTTTGAGTTAGAATCGGTGATGTGAGTTCTAGTGTGGGCGTGGCCTACAGTGGAGTACCCCAAGGATCGGTGCTAGGTCCACTTTTGTTTCTTATGTTTATAAACGACTTGGCTCCTCTTATTGAAGACCCCTGTTACATCTTTGCGGATGACTTGAAGCTAGTCAGCAGGGGCAACCGCGCAACACTGGCCAAGGATATCATCAGTGTGGCAAACTGGTCGAAGCAATGGGACTTGCCCTTGAATGCACGCAAGTGCCAAATTCTGACCACTAGTAGAGACGTACTTTGGGCCCTTCCCCTTACAATGCACTACCCAGGCACGCGATTTAGGAGTCATCATGACGAGCAGCTTCAAGCCTTCGATGCAATGTCGATACGCCGCCAACAAAGCGCGACGAGAATTGTTTCGCCTCAGGAGGGCTCTGTGTAATACCAAGCCAGAAGTGTTCCTGCCACTATACAAAGCAGTGGTTAGGCCACACTTAGAGTATTGTGTTCAAGCTTGGTCGCCCTATCTCCGTGATGATGTTCTTTGCCTGGAGAAGATTCAAAGACTAGCAACCAGGATGGTTGAAGGTCAACGGGGGAAGCCGTATGAAGATCGCCTAAAGAGCCTGGGGTTGTTTTCCCTTGAACGGCGTAGACTGAGAGGCGATCTGATAGAAACATTTAAGATCATAAAGGGCTTCAGTGACATCGTGCCCTCTGATTTATTTGAGCTGGCTGATTCTGAACGCTTGCGTGGACATCGCTTGAAGCTCAAACAACAGAGAGCTAGACTGAACGTCAGGGCTAAGTTCTTCTCAAATCGTGTAGTGCGCAACTGGAATAAGTTGCCTTCGGAACTAATGGATTGTGAGACTGTGGTTGCCTTCAAAGCAGGCCTAGACAGATGCTGGCCGCGTATTTTTCCGGAATTAATATAATCCTATCCAATTTATTCGCATTGTTATCCGATGTTGATCCTTGTAAAAGCAAAGATTGCTCTCGCTTTTGCTTCATTTCTTTTTGCAGAGGCAAGGAGAGGCGATCAAAAGTCGAAGTGCCGGGGGCTCTGGTTCGCTTACCGGTACAAGAAGCTGAACGCTCGTTAGGCGGAAGCCTGTATCGTCCACGGATTTTGACCTGACCTGACCTAGTGAAAACGAATGAAGAATGAAGTGTCAGCTTGTACGGCGCTTCGCTGCCGCGCGACCACCACCAGTCGCGCGCGGGCTGATTATACCGCGAGGACGCCCACCCCTACGCGGAGTCGAACCGGTGACCTTATGGTTGCAAAGCAAACGTGCAGACTACTCGGCCACCGGCCGACGGAATATCTTAGTACAGCATCATTGCTTTGTTGTTGTTGTGTGCACTCGATTGTGTTCCCTTTCGTGTGTGCTCTTGTGGTTTATCAGTGGTGCATTTGGAGTTGTTTGTTGGTATTGGATGGATCGCGTGAAGATGTATATATGTTGTCAATTTGCGTGTCCAGTATTCGAACCGTACAGAATTTCTCGCTTCATGATTGCAGTTGGAAATGTGAACGCGCACTGGTGTGGGTCATTGGCTAGCAGCTCATGCGGACTGGATGTTCGTGCAGGTAGGATTCCTCAATTTAACGGTATATTTTTGTGAAAATCTATGATGTCTTATTTTTCGTCTCCTATGCTAATGCGGAGCACAACGTCTGAATACTGTGTGACATGCGTCACTTGACTGGTTTCCCTTTCAGGTCCATTACTTCGGACTGCCTCGTTCTCACTGCGTTTGTGCGGTGTGTGTCGCAAATGTGACGAAGTCCGCCGATTCAGCTGCATTTTACGCGCCAGCGAAATGTCGCTAATCGTGATGTTGTGTGCGCAGTACGAGCGTGCCATTGTGTCAGGTAAGTGTCGGTTTGCTTGTTTTGCCTTGCATTTCGAAAGCAAAAGCTACCTTTTTGAATATGTGACATTTTGGGGACTGAAATTCAGTATTTACAACGCCGCGTTGGGGGCCGTCTCACTCTCTGGGGTCTGAGGATCTGAGGCGACTTCAAGTCGTTGATCACTGCTTTCTGTGAAGCAGTGCTGCTTTGGGTTGGCGCTACGGTTCCCGCAAGAATAATGTGGGTAGGCGAGCGCTTAGAAGTGATAAGCACGCTATTTCCTTAGGTCAGATAGCTCTTTATACGTTGCGTTCTTTTGCAAACGTACTACATATGTCCGGTTACCGCTTATTTAGTAGGGCCTTGTTTACTCTGTTAGGTGTAGGATGTTGCAATGCTCGAGGTTACAGGAGTTGATTTGGCAGTGGGAAATGCAGTCACGACCAAAGTGGGTGCTGTTGTTCCGTCTCGCTTTCCAGACTGGAATCCACTTGACTTGCCTTGTGCTTAGCTTGAGACTTTACAGGACATGGCTCGCAGTCGACACCAGTGGCGCGTCTGCTGCCGTCTCTCAGTTACACTTCCTGTTTTGTGTGTGTTTTGTTTTGTCACCTGCGGGGTAGTGGCTGATTATGACGCAATGCAGTGAAAGCCGCGAGGAAGCTATCCCGCCGGTGCCGCCCTATCCCTGCACGATAGTCAGCTATTTGTGACACAAAGTGCACGCGCCTTTCCCCTTAATGTTTGCTTAGGGCATTAAGGTTTTGTTGTGGGTCCCACTACTTTCCCTCTTATTATTCTTCATTCTGTAGATCATCATAGTTGTACGGCAGCGAAGTATCAGATCAAACGGCTGGTGCACTGCTGTTGTTGATCATTATGCTGATGATTTTCGTGAAGTTGGGCTCTCGGGATTACCTGTATCGACAGGTGCTGATTGAGGAACTCGCTGACGGTGATAATCCTCGTTGCGTCAGTAATGCAACGTGGTACAGCAGTGATTGTCTACGGGATACACGACCCATTTACCCTGATTTAAGGATCAGCATACCTTTTTAAAGTGGCCGAGTTTACCACAAGATTTGCATGTTGCGTCCTTGTCAGGACATTTTGAACGAGGACGTTTTTTATCACCGCAAAAGTAGGAAGATGAGTTGACAGCGGCAATTACAGTCTCATCAGAAGCGGGCTTTGTGAAGAACTTGGAGTCCGGGGGCTCGCGCTCTAGGACATACACTGCACGACAGTGCATACTGCTTTGAATATGCCGCGGCCTGCGCATGTGTCAGTTCCATTGCTCTGACTTTGTTAAACGCGGTCATACAACCACTTGATCTGTATCATAACAGCGTATGTCGAATTTCACTTGATCTTATCCAACCGGTGAAGGCATTGCGAATGGCCTCGTTCAGATCTCATTTGATAGGGGTGGAAAACACCTCAGCTACTGTGCCGCAATAAATAGGAAAGGAAAAAATCATATAACAGGTGCACTCCAGTTAAGCTACCAGTAAGGAATAGGCATCGTTCCGGAAAGCTACCAGCAGGCTACTATGAAGCGAAAAAAGTTTTGCTATGCAAAATTTATACTGTGTTAAAAAGTGAAATCGCGGTTGGAGGGGGAGGATAAGCGGGAGGGGAGGAGAAATGAAACTCACAATACAACCGCCACTGAGGTCGGCTGCTCACCATGTTAACAACTGTATCCAGCCAAACATGTTCATCGTCTTTCGGACTACAACAAGGGAGCCGAGACCTTCCAATCGAGCCTAACTTTGAACTAAGCGCTTTCATTCATCTTGATCAAGTCATCGTTTGTCCACCCCTTTTCTTGTTCCATCCGGACCGCCGGCGCACAAACAACGCACTTCACGGGAGTCATTGGACTGGCATGCGCAAGACCTGGCCGAGCCATCGGAGCCTGGTGCGTGAAATAACGGTGCCGAGCGGTTCATTTCCTCTCCCTGTGTCATAAACAAAGCGTGGAATACGTTCGTTGCTCACGCAGTGTTCCCACCATAAGTGAGCCGCTCGGCGAAAGCACTGGCGATCGAACGTTGCTAGCCTCTTTTTGTTTGCTGATCTAATGGGCCAGATTTCACAGCGGTACAGCACGGCCTAACGTACGGCTACGTTGTACACTCGGCCGGTGGCCGAGTGGTCTGCACGTTTGCTTTGCAACCATAAGGTCACCGGTTCGACTCCGCGTAGGGGTGGGCGTCCTCGCGGTATACTCAGCCCGCGCGCAACTGGTGGTGGTCGCGCGGCAGCGAAGCGCCGTTACGGCGTATAAGCTGACACATTTCATTCATTTTCACACTACCCTTCAGAGAGAGAGAGAGAGAGCTTGATGTCTCGCCGGCACCACAGGTGGCGAAGGTTAGCAAAAGTGCCTCGTGCTTTTGCTATATGGTTTGTGCCTTCGTCTTCAATTCCAGTGGCGCTGATACAACGACTAGGTAGTTGAACTTTTGGACAATATCTAGCTGATTTTCACTATTAAATCTACTCACTTGCTGCAATGCCGAAACTTGCACTTAATCTATTCCACAGGACCACAAACCCAAACAGAAGAAAAAGTCAGAACGACTTTGCCCAAAATAACCTATTAAACGCAGTCAAACAGGGGCTGTACGAAGGTGGCAGACCATGGTCATATTTCTAGGTCAGATACTAAAGTTAGTTGTTCCCCATAGATTTACCCCCTATTCAGGAAGGTTGTTAGCCACGTGCTGGCTTTGGTATATTCCAGTGCCTTCGAAATCGAGGCGATAATCGTTAACAATCGATTATCGCTGAAATAATGGATTTTATGGGGTTTTCTTAATTTCTGCCGAATACCCACCAAGGGTCAGCGAAGCAGGCGGTCCCTACCAATATTGCAAGGAAGCTTTTCATTTCGGGGGTGCAAAGGGAAGCCCGAAACGGCTGACTGTCAGTGCTAATCTGTCCAGTTCAGCTTGGCACGTTTAGGGCTGTTACAGATTAGGGTAATATCGTTAGCATATTCCAAGTCAATAAGTCATTCACTTGAGAGCAGCCTCACACCTTAGTCGTGTTCAATGAAAGCCATTTACCTGACTTCGTCAATAGAAAAAAAGAAGGGTAACAGCGAGCATCGTTGTCTCAAGCCGCTGGAGATATTGGAGGGCGGCGACAGTTTGCCTTATCAAACTCTCTGTCAGAGCTACGCGCGTGAAGCGCTCGGATAATATTTACATTTTTCTCGAGTGCACCTTTCCTCAGTAGGCAGTCCTAAAGGTTACATCAATCAACTGAATCGAAGGCACCTTTGATATCGTGAAACACGACTACGATGCGCCGCTTATATATGTGACGGTACTCCAACAGTTGACGCAAAGTAAAGATGCGCTCGGTGCAGCCTCCATCTCGGCGTAAGCCGGCTTGCTCTTCATGAACCTTGCTTTCACGAGTGCCAGCCAGTCTTTGAAGGACGACAGGGGCAAGCAATTTGGAGGCGATGATGACCAGACTGATTCCTATCTGGTTGCCGCATTCTGATCTTGAGCCTCCCCTGAAAATTGGGACTGTAACGGAGTGGATCCAGAACGGTTTCCTGCTCCCACAATTTCACTAGTGACTGGGGTAACTCATCCACAATAGCAGGGCAACGAATTTGAAGTGGGCTGGGGGAAAATCATCAGATCCCGCAGGTTTATTCAGCTTCAGCAGTCTGATCTCACATACGACTTCTGAGCAAGAGGGCGGATCCAGTGACAGTTCAGAGAACAGGGCCATCAGCGGCCGGTGAGAAATAACAAGTTCGATGGACTAAATTCTCTTTATACATGATCAGCCCAATGCTCTAAGCGTTTTATTAAGTTATGGGTAGACTATCCATTCTCGTCGTTAATAGTTCCACTAACACTATCAGTCGGAAAGGCAGCGGCCACTTTCGTCTTTGACGCACGATCAGATCACCAGAATTCGCGATCTCTTCAGGCTAGCACGACATTTTGCCCTGAGGGCTTTGCGAATCCCATTGTATTCGCTTCCAGTCGGAATGTGTCGTTGAGCATCGATATGTTCCAGATATCGCGCAGAGACCTAGTGTCCATGTTGGCTATTAGACTTACGACATGAGGGTTTGCTTGCTGCTGGTAAGGTCTGGTGAAGCTGTGGCCAGTGACATTCAAATGTGTTAACTGAGCACTTGCTCAACCCCGCAAGTTTGCTTATTTCGATACGCATACCGATTAGTTTCGACAGTAACGGCCTGAAAATTTCAATCCTAGGCAACTACCTTTAGCTACTGCAGGAACTGCAGACCTTAACGTGATGCGACGGTTTGCGTACCTCATTGACCCATTGAGCGATACTGTATGGTGTCTCCAAACACCTTGAGAGCTACTCCTACCAAGTTGGTCAATAGTGAGAGGTCAGACAAACTCAGTCTCCTGGTCCTCCAGGTTTGGGGTTTTTTAATGGGATGGCGTCCATTTCCGTAAAACTAAATCCTTGCCACCTTCCCGCTGCATTGCGGACAGCCTTTTGAGCCAAGGGCTTTGGATGAGGACCCTAATCGTCCTCCTGTCTAGCTCTGGGCACCCTGGCAATACCCCTGCTTACATACAACCATGACTTTTTCTTCCAATATAAACTTCATCCTGCATCGGCCGTCGCACAGAATATCAAGCGTCGCCTTATCTGTGGTATATAGCAGGACGGATAAGCGGAAACATGCTACTGCTGGCGCCTCCCTTCTTTCTTTTCCAGCTGTTTCTCTTACTCCCATCCCGAACCCATTACTAACCTTGCTTTTATAATTTCCAAATTAATTGTCAGTAACCGAAGTGCCACTGCAGTAGAACCATCTGCATCCACTTTCCCACAACACCAATCGGACGCCTATCGGCAACAGTCCCTTACAAGGCCACACTGTCCCGTTTCTATCGCGGCCTTCAACATTCGCACTCTAAGACAAATAGGTCAACAGGCTGCACTCGCACGCACCTTGGACTCACTGAGTATTGATGTGTGTTATGTGTCCGAACCGA